CCATTTGACAACGTGAATAAGAAACATCTTTTAACATTAGGGAATCCTATAGGGACACATTAAATTCTGTTCTCTAACTAGCACATAATCTTGAACTAGAGTCATCAAATTTAAAAGCACTAGGTAAGGGCAAGAGGACAATATCTCCAAAGCATGAGGATTCACACTGACAGATTCCTTTTTTTATTTTTTTTATTTCTAGCAGCTTTATTAATAATTGCCGAAAACGACAGACAATATGTTTTTAGCACAAAAAAGAAATGTGCTATCAAGCCATGAGAAGACATAGAGGAATCTTAAGTGTATATGACTAAGTGAAAGAAACCAGTCTGAAAGGGCTATATGCTGTATGATTCCAACTATATGACATTCTGGAAAAGGCAAAACTACAGACAGTAACAATATCAGTGGTTTCCAGGGGCTCTGGGGAGGGGGTGAGAGGGTTGAATAGGTGCAGCACAGGTGACTTTTTAGGGCAGTGAAAATACTCTGTATACTATAATGGTGGGTACATGTTACTATACTTTGCTTGTCTCAGGCAACTTACAGCTCTATAATCACTCTTTTACTCAACAAACATACATTTGACAAATATTTATTAAGCACCCGATTAATGGCAGAACTATACTCAATTCCACCTCTCCCACCCACCCTCAACTTCATCCTCCAAATCAAGAATGTTCTTTTGGCCAAAACTTCAAAGCCCACTTCAATTCTCACCTCCTCCCATAAATTTTCCCCTTAATGTTCCAATGCTTATTATGGAATGGAGTGAACTCATTGTGTCTACCAATCATTTGGCACTTGATAGAATATTTGTGATCTGTTGACAGGAGATTGATCAGAATGGGAAGACTTGGAACCATGACACATTTTTAAAAATCTGAAAAAGAAATATTTAGCATAGTATTTTAAAAAGATGCCACATTCCCTCAATGCTATCTTTAAGCATCTGGGGGCTTTTAAGTGAACATTTAGGCTCATTCTTGTAGTCACCCCAAGGAGATAAGAAATAATTTTTACAAGTCTATTTCTGGTTCTGAAGCTCAAGGTTTCAGATTTCAAGCTTTGCTTTATATGGCCCTACATTTGGTCTACATCAATGCTTTTAACCTTTAAAAAAATTTTTTCCCCATTATAGCCCACCTAGACTTTAAGACATTTTTTTCTTAATTTCCCCCCCATGAAATTTTATTGCCACAGGTACACTGTATATCTGTTTATGAAATGTCACCCCCTTTGCGACTGCATGGTTCACATGGAGGACTAGGGAACCGTTTGTGTCAGGATATCTGGTACATTGCTTTAAAGCAGAAATATTTCTCTCTTTTCACCTCAAAATTGCTCTGTACAAAATTTACTCAGTAAATTGTTGAATGAATTATTAATAAACTACTCAAATCCAAGCCCTGCCTATATTCCCTAATATTACTAGTATATCTAGGGTTAGGTAGTCAAGTAGGTTTGATTTAATTTGAGCTTTCCTCGCTATGAATGAGGATACTTTTTTCTTTATTGTTTTCAGAAAATTTAGACTGAAAGGATACAGGACACAATAGGTCTTTAAATGTTGACAACATCTAATGCCTTGTCTCCTGAAAAGAAGTGTGCTTAACACATGTGAGATGACTTTAGTAGTGTGCAAAACAATTTTTTCTTTAACAATTAAGTATTATTTTAATAAATACTTTTTATTTATGACAAGAAATTCTAGTTTATCATTTAAAGTAGATGTATTGATTTCCTTTAAAAACATAATTAAGTGACATTTTTAAAAGTATCAAGTAAATATTGTATATTTATTAGTAGTACTAGAGGCCTGATGCATGAAATTCATGCAAGAGTAGGCCTTCCTTCCCCTGGCTGCCGGCACCAGCTTCCCTCTGGCACCAGGGACCCGGGCTTCCCTCGCAGCCCCGGCTTCATCCAGAAGGTCAACCAGTCTAATTAGCATATTACGCTTTTATTATTATAAATGTGTAGTGCTATGTGAATATGGCAAAAACTGTAAATGTACCCAAATTTCTAAAATCTCAGAAATACTAGTTTAATAGTTGTATAAAGTCAGTTGAACATTCAGAAAGGTCCACTTCTGAAAAGGAACAGCAGCTAACACTGACTGAGTACTTACATGTGTCAGGCACCATTCTAAGCCCTTCACATGTACTAACTCATTGAATTTTCAGAATGTACCTATAAGATTGCTATCACCATCTTAGAAATGAAAAAACTGAGTCACTAGGAATTTAAATAATTTGTCCAAAGTCTCATTCCTAGTCAGTGGTGGAGCCAAGATATTAACTTAGCCAGTTAAGCTCACAATTAGTAGACTATTCTTCCCAAGCACTATTTCCACATTATTCAAAGGTGATGTGATACATTCTATATTAATGCATCATACTTATAAGAACTAAACTCAAGTTTTCCATTGGTATTCCCTCCTCCCTCCTAGATATCCCACCAATTCAAAGTAGCAATTAAAGTTTCAAGACTCTTTAGTGCTCCATTTAGAGCAAATATAGGGCCATATAATGAAGTTGAACACTCTTGTCTAAGCTTATTGGGGCTCAGTATGTCAGATGACATTGACAATGGAGTCACAGGTAAAGAGAACACTCCAGCTCAAAGTCAGGGGAGAAAGTTAACGGCAACAAAGATCTACCAAAATTTGTTGGGGTAACTAGAAAACCTGGCAGGTTCACGAGTGTCTTATCTATATATATAAAGAGCCAGAGGCCGTCACATCCGAAACAACCGAACGGATGACCGAATGACCGAACAGGGTGAGTGGGGCAACAAGGCCGGCAGGGGGGTTAGGTGAGGACAACCAAACGACTGAGCAGCAGGCTGCGTCGGGCAACCAGGGCGGCAGGGGGGGCAGTGAGGGGCGACAGACTGGCAGAGGGTGGCAGTGAGGGGTGACCAGGCTGGCAGGGAGC